TTACGTTCCAAAATTTCCTCCTTGGAGACGAGTCGCGTTCGATTGACCAATCAGAAATAAAAATTTCTTTATCCTGATTGGTCGGTGAAATATTATTTCAAAGAGTAAATTTTAGAACGCTGCCCTGAAATATGACGTTGCCGCTGATGCGTCATCGTTTGAAATTTGAACAGTTCTCGCGCGTGAGTTCATTCAGCTTGCAACTTGCAACCGTCCCGAGCCTTTGAAATTTCGTCTTTTCGTTCATGCGAACTTTAATGAAGAAGCTTTTCTCCTAGTCAGGGCTACGCAAATGTGAGTATTATTGTTATTCATCCAATTAATTACATTAACTGCGCGAGTAATTTTCTGATAAATATAACAGGACACGCGCCGATGTTAGAACGAGAGATCTAATTAAGGTTAATCCGTCTTCGCGAAAGTTCCACGTATTAGTCTGTTAAATTGTTGGAAAAGAGATGGCGACTTTCTATTAATTATTCGCGTATATTATAATTTACATTTATTAAACTACATGGTCCAGTTTATCCCCCGATTGTTCTCAACGCGCGCGCTTTTGATTTCGCCATCTCTCGCACGGCGGATCTTCGAGATCGCGCTTTCTTTATCATCATCGCGTTTGTATCATAGAGCGCATACAAGGCGTCTTGAAAGCACCGATTAAAGAAATATCCGATGATTATGAAACATTTTGTATTAGTGATCGCTCGCGAAATATTTATTGCGCTTTCCCTTCTTCGCTCCCCTCGCGAAAAATAAGATATACACGGTGTCTTATTTCCAATCCTCCCCTCTGATTCCTGAGAAAAGTAACGCGCGTAACGAGTTTGAGACGAGGAAAATATAATAATAAAAAACAAAAGAACTCTATTGAGATTTTTTCACGCCGATAAATCGTAAACTATTGCGAGAGATGATATATTACTGTATTGTTATTGTAATTGCCAACACTTGTGACATAATAAAGTATTGCTACAAAATAGCAGAGCCATTTCTACTTCCCGTATTTTCGTTGGCTAATGCGAATTGCATTTTTTTTGTTTTAGGTATAAATAACAATTTTGTACGAAATTGTCGCAAAAGAGCTTGGCAATTGCAATAACGATTTTTATCTTTGTTTGCTCATTAATTCAAAGTCAAAACTTATCAGGAATATTGCGAGAATCTTCCGAGGAAATAAACGTTTAGTCCCAATCTGATCTTTTTTAATTAATCCTGCATTTTTATTGAAAAATAATTAAAAATATGCATGTAATCGTAATATTTATTAAGCGACTAATTTTTGTTTCATTAATAATTGTTACACTAATAATTACTAATAATTTTTAAACAATTCTTGGTTATTTATTTGGTTACAATGAAAAAAAAAAAAATTAGGAAAGTATTTTTAATATTACAATCGCTTTATTCAATATAACTTTACAATGGTATCGTGTATACTGTAGTAAAGGCTTGTAGAACGATACAAAATATATCGACATAAATATTATCTTGATCGCATAAAGAAGAGCGACGGAACGCAGAAAAAACATGTAAAATTTCTAATTTTGCGCATTTTTTATGATAATAGCATCTTGTCCTTTTGATCTTTCAGAATCTCGTGTAATCAATCCAAATGCTCTTGATAAGAATTTATTCGCCACCTGTAAGAAAGAATCTTTATTCGCAAAAATGCGAATATTCTTTAAGTCGTTCTTTTCACGTGCGAATAATTACAAAAAATACTTTATTACATTCTTAGTGTAAGATAAATTGAATATTTTAAAATTGTCCACTTTCGTCGGAAACAAAGAAACAAGAAAAAACAATATCACCCGTGATAAAAGTATATTTATTGATGACTGGTTGCATTGAGCTTATGTTTAGCTTAACTGATTCTTTTATTAACTGTATGATAAATTGCATAATGATCGGACAATTGATCACAACTTCGATAAAATCGGTCATTAATCGGAGATGAAACGGCGTGTCTTGCGCAAAATCGTGACTAACGAGTCATCAATTCGAGACGAGAATCGGAACGTTTATTTATTATGATAATCTATCGATTAAAAAATATATCCTATTTCGAGATATAAAAAATATAAAGCTCGCCCGATCTTCGTGCGAATTGACGAATACCATTCGTCGCAGATTTGCATAGTTCGACGACGCCATCTTGAAATCTATTTAGACGGAGCAAGCAAGATTGTGTAAGACTAACTGGTATATAGTAATAGGTTTTTAATTATTATCTGGTTGATACATGCGATATTTTTTAAATTATTTACTGATTTATTACAATTTATAATGAAAAGAATTATTAAATAATTCAATAATTTTTAGTTACATATCTAATTATCTGTTAAATAAACTTAAATAAAAGACGCGTGATTATATATTCGTATCGTTGTTTTTTCTTCAAATATTTTTGCACGATATTAGAAAATAAAATATGAATACTTTATTTCCGCAACGTTTTTATGATGACTTTTGTTATTTCTTCTCAAACACAATCCGTCTAAATAGTTTTTAATACGCTAAATTAAGTATCTCCCGAACATAACTCAAGTGTTTGCTCTAATTGTAAGTAAATGACGCCACGCGTGGACAAACGCGATCGAAGTCGAACGAATCCATTAGGTAATTAGTTAATTCATTATCGTCCGCGTAATTTTCCATTCGGTTTTGCACACGCAGTAAGTTCGCGAAGCTCGATGCGAAGAAATTGCTCGACTCCAAAAAAAATTATTGCAAGTTCGCCGCTGTATACTCTTGATCTTTTGCAAAATCCTAAAGTTCAGCGGTACAATTGCAATTATTGCAAGTCTCCGACATTTGTATACTGCAATTATGTGTTCGACGTGTATTATCTGTATTATCTTTTATATCATCTCTATTTTGTTTTTCCATCGCAGAGTTATGCTACTGTAGAAAAATGGTACGTGACTGGAACGATAATATTGTTTAAAAGAAAATAGAGATTCTCCTTATCGCGCGATCTCTAATCATTCTATGACAATAATCTACCTAGCTACCTATCGCGACATCAGATCGATATCATAATACTGTAACGTTGATTCTCTCGCGCGAAATCTTTGTAGGAGAAAAAGAAATGGAAGTACTATGCATGGACATTCTTACCATGGAACATATATGTATATTTTCGCAAATTGCAAGATACTATTCTCTCTATCTTTTTCTTTCTTTCTTTCGTTATATAATAACATTGTATATATTTCGCGATGTGTGTTATCAGCTTCAGTCCGGCGTGAAATAGTCATCGGAGAAACATCCTTTGTCTTTGTTTTTTTTTTTTTTTTCATTCTTTACTTATTGTCCTTTCAAAAGATTGTACACTTCTCCGAATATTCTCGCCGGATATTTTTCGCTAAATGTGATTCACATCG